TTCATTTTATGTAAATTATTCTATAATATTCCGCCATTCCCCTGTATGCTAATTTCCGATAAGTTTTCATATAATATGTAGATAATTTCAGGCATTCAATTTTAATCGATTATTTTACTTTTGATGTAAAACGGTTAACATCGAATGGCGACACACACTCTTATAATTCTAACGGTTCAATAGTACTCGTTAACAACACATTGCGCATTACCAAAACTCCGGTAACACTGTGACGTAATGCGTGCATTCTGCTCAGAACAACAATAACGAGTAATCTGGGCTAGTGGCCATATTTTGCTTCGCGCACACATCACCATAACCTGCCGAATACCATCCTGACCATTTTCCGATAAGATGAATCTCTTACTTTTTACAAAATTTCTTAATTCCTCCTGCGTCGTCCCTTCACCTTCGGCACTGTACTAACACACAATATCGCGTTTTACCACAAACCGAAACTCAATTTTACGTACTCTACGCGCGTTTCGTCAACCAAGTTGGCATCTTCAGGAGAAGATTAAAACTGTTTTAATTTAACCGTTATAAGAAAATTATGTTCCTGGTGATGGACTCTACGTCGAAACTAACCGTATATTGACGCCGACAGGTCGAAGGGCAGAAAACGATGATACAGGAGCTTTGTTCCCCTTTACGGCCGTCGTAGTCTGTCGAAAAAAAAAACAACCCCGGTCAACATCTCGGGGCGTTAATTTTAACTCGATCTTTTCACCCGACCCTCCGAAACCTCCATTACGTGTCAAAAGGCTAATCGACTCTCGGAAGCTTTACAGTGGACCACAGTTTTTTCTTTATTTTGGGTGCGAAATGACTAGGTTTCAAAAGACTCCTCTATTTGTTCAACTTTTATGCGAGTGATATTGTATTTCGTCCTCGGATACTTTTCCCGATTGGTCCCGATTCTGAAAGGCCTCTAAGGTGTCTTAAAGGGCGATCTCTTTGAACCGAAAATCACGCTGGGATTTTTTCATTTTATATATAACACTTAACGCCAAACCATTTTTATGACAAAGAGTCCATGTCTTCTAAAGCAGTACTCTTTTCCCGTCTCACTACTAACATTTCCATAGAATTTTTTTATTCCCTATAACTATGCTTTGCGGTCGCTTTAATAAATACATATTTGGCTGCATTTCATTTTCTCCAAAATGTTAAACAAACCTCCAAAACCGTTACCTGCTTTTATTCGAAACATTTCCATCTTTGAGTTTACTATTACTCTCTATTTCACCCCATAACGATGTTCAGATTTATGAGGATCTAGCGTTTTCACCGTGAATTTATAGAAGATTTATCGATAATGTCTCAACATTTAATTTAATTTGTGCATTTTGGATTAGTGCATTAAGTAAAGATCGCTAGTAACTCTTTAATTAGTCAGTTAACAAATGAATTTGTTTTCCTACCTGATTTTTCGGGGATTTATAGAGTATTTATGAGGATTCAACGGAGATTTAAACATTCTTAGATGCATGAGAATGTACATGATTTAATGGGAATGTATTTCGAAAATGTTGCATTGGATAGTCAGTTTTGGTTAGTTTGCTGGCTTTACTGGGAATGTACGGTCGATTTAGTTCTGATTTATGAGGATTTAGCGTTTCCACATAGTGATTCACTGTGAATTTATAAAAGATTTATTGATAATGTCGCGGCATTTAATTTAATATGATTAATTTGCATTAGTGCAATAAGTAAAGTTTGCAAGTAAATTTCTAAAAAATAAATCATCAGTTAGTCAATTAACAAGTGAATTGGTCTGTTTTTCTACCTGATTTTTCCGAGATATATAGAGCATTTATGAGAATTTAACGGAGATGCATTTTAAAATTTCTTAGATGCATGAGAATGTACATGACTTAATGGGAATGTATTTCGAAAATGTTGCATTGGATGGTCAGTTTTGGTTAGTTTGCTGTATTTACTGGGAATGTACGGTCGATTTAGTTCTGATTTATGAGGATTTAGCGTTTTCACATAGTGATTCACTGTAAATTTATAAAAGATTTATTGACAATGTCGCGGCATTTAATTTAATTTGATTAATTTGCATCAGTGCAATAAGTAAAGTTTGCAAGTAAATTTCTAAAAAATAAATCATCAGTTAGTCAATTAACAAGTGAATTGGTCTGTTTTTCTACCTGATTTTTCCGAGATATGTAGAGCATTTATGAGAATTTAACGGAGATGCATTTTAAAATTTCTTAGATGCATGAGAATGTACATGACTGAATGGGAATGTATTTCGAAAATGTTGCATTGGATGGTCAGTTTTGGTTAGTTTGCTGGATTTACTGGGAATGTACGGTCGATTTAGTTCTGATTTATGAGGATTTAGCGTTTTCACATAGTGATTCACTGTAAATTTATAAAAGATTTATTGACAATGTCGCGGCATTTAATTTAATTTGATTAATTTGCATCAGTGCAATAAGTAAAGTTTGCAAGTAAATTTCTAAAAAATAAATCATCAGTTAGTCAATTAACAAGTGAATTGGTCTGTTTTTCTACCTGATTTTTCCGAGATATGTAGAGCATTTATGAGAATTTAACGGAGATGCATTTTAAAATTTCTTAGATGCATGAGAATGTACATGACTGAATGGGAATGTATTTCGAAAATGTTGCATTGGATGGTCAGTTTTGGTTAGTTTGCTGGATTTACTGGGAATGTACGGTCGATTTAGTTCTGATTTATGAGGATTTAGCGTTTTCACATAGTGATTCACTGTAAATTTATAAAAGATTTATTGACAATGTCGCGGCATTTAATTTAATTTGATTAATTTGCATCAGTGCAATAAGTAAAGTTTGCAAGTAAATTTCTAAAAAATAAATCATCAGTTAGTCAATTAACAAGTGAATTGGTCTGTTTTTCTACCTGATTTTTCCGAGATATGTAGAGCATTTATGAGAATTTAACGGAGATGCATTTTAAAATTTCTTAGATGCATGAGAATGTACATGACTGAATGGGAATGTATTTCGAAAATGTTGCATTGGATGGTCAGTTTTGGTTAGTTTGCTGGATTTACTGGGAATGTACGGTCGATTTAGTTCTGATTTATGAGGATTTAGCGTTTTCACATAGTGATTCACTGTAAATTTATAAAAGATTTATTGACAATGTCGCGGCATTTAATTTAATTTGATTAATTTGCATCAGTGCAATAAGTAAAGTTTGCAAGTAAATTTCTGAAAAATAAATCATCAGTTAGTCAATTAACAAGTGAATTGGTCTGTTTTTCTACCTGATTTTTCCGAGATATGTAGAGCATTTATGAGAATTTAACGGAGATGCATTTTAAAATTTCTTAGATGCATGAGAATGTACATGACTGAATGGGAATGTATTTCGAAAATGTTGCATTGGATGGTCAGTTTTGGTTAGTTTGCTGGATTTACTGGGAATGTACGGTCGATTTAGTTCTGATTTATGAGGATTTAGCGTTTTCACATAGTGATTCACTGTAAATTTATAAAAGATTTATTGACAATGTCGCGGCATTTAATTTAATTTGATTAATTTGCATCAGTGCAATAAGTAAAGTTTGCAAGTAAATTTCTAAAAAATAAATCATTAATTCGTCAGTTAACAAGTGAATTCCGGGATATATAGAGCATTTATGAGAATTTAACGGAGATGTATTTTAAAAATTCTTAGATGCATAAGAATGTACATGATTTAATCGGAATGTACTTCAAAAATGTTGCATTGGATGGTTAGTTTTGGTTATTTTGCTGGATTTATTGGGAATGTACGGTCGATTAGGTCCGATTTATGAGGATTTAGCGTTTTCACATAGTGATTCACTGTGAATTTATAAAAGATTTATTGATAATGTTGCGGCATTTAATTTAATTTGATTATTTTGCATTAGTGCAATAAGTAAAGTTCGCAAGTAAATTTCTAAAAAATAAATCATTATTAGTCAGTTAACAAATTAATTGGTTTGTTTTTCTACCTGATTTTTCGGGGATTGGGATTGATGAGTATTCATGAGGATTTAACGGAGATGTACTTTAAAAATTCGCAGATGCGTGAGAATGTGCAAGGTTATTTTTTATATTTACGTCACGGAGAAAAACTTTTAATACAAAAGTTGTATTATGTTTGCAGTATTATCTTTTACACTTGTAAAAGAAAAGACAAATGCGCATCGCAAAGTTGAGAAACAGTAGCACGTTATTTATTGTTAAATGAAAATGTTATGAAGAAAGATCTTTTTCTCCTGTTTTTTTTTATTAAGTTTACATTTTTGCTGAATACCTAAATAACAGATATGATCATTGAATAGTTAGGCATTGCACAAAACCCCAGTATACAATACCAGACCTCAAAATAAACGCGTTATATTTTCATTATTCTTTGTTTAATTATCGTTGTTATCGGCTTTACTATCGTTTGTTGTTGTTGATATTATATTCTTTAGCATTTTTAGTTATAGTATAATATAGTATACGGGTGTTTTCTTAAACCTCAGATATCTCAAAAAGTAAGTATAATTTAAATATAAGATAAATTACAAACTTACGTTGTTTCTTGTCCTAAAATTGATATAAGAATAAAGATATAGAGTGTTCCATTTGAAAATTTTGAGATTTCGTTAACTAAATTCGCAAAAAAGCACCACCTATTTGGCACACCATATATAAGCTGAGGCGCATCTGTCAAACTGGGTGAGTAGTGCATCATCCCCTTAATCTGTGCTTAAATTTTCGTTGCAATACCTGAATCAGTAGCGTCACAACACAATTTTGTACGGAACAATCAAAATATGAAAAAAAAACTCATAACCTCAGTTTCTGCATAAACTACGCAAAATTCGAATAGGAATTTCTTAAGAAAGTGTTCTTTATTTTAACCAAGGATTCAAAAAATGTCGAAATATGTTCCATTTAAAGTAACAATGATGATGTCGGCGGAGACACTTTTGCGACATCCTGTATCAACAAAATTAGCACGGGGCAAGGTGACTCACCGTGGCATTGGCGGACGTTTCGGCCGAGAATCCCTGAAGGAAGCAAATGACTTGACCGAAAATGTACGTGTCCGGACTCCATATCCTGTACATTTCCGGCGGAAGTCCCGAGATCAACAGCAACATGTCCGACACGGCGAGACTGAAGAGATAATAGTTCGTCGCCGTGTGCATCGATTTGTTTTTGGCGATCACTACACATGTACTGATGTTGCCGACCACGCCCGTGACGAAAATGGCCGCGTACACTATGGTGAACGGTATCACCAGTTCCAGGGGGTACATGGTTTCGGTAGTGGGCAGTACGGGTTCCGTCGCGCTAGGGCTCGCAGTGACGTTCGCCACTGGCCATTCGGTGGTGACGACGTCGGCCGTCATTGTAGATTGCATCCAGGTTCAGGTCGTTTGGCGGTTCATGCTGAAAAACGACGAAATGCCAGTTAATAAAAAAAAGTACTTATGTTCTGAACATTTCTCCCGAATTGTGAAGATCTTGGTTTTTATCTAAATTATGCGAGAAGTATTATATCGGATGCCCAAATTAAAATCGAAAAGGAGACGTAACAAGACCCCAAAACGAGGGGACCCCCTTATAATATACAATTACCGTTAACAATGCAAAATGAACACAGGGACGAGTTGTAAAAAAAAAATCGGCAAAAGGAAAAATTAGGGTCACCGGTTTTGTAATTTGCTTTCGGGCAGAGAACGTGTTTGGGCTTTTAGAATAATGGGGGCTTTTCCATCCATTCGCACCTTAGTCGTGACGCAAAAGTAATATTTCATTTCCCAAAATTGTTAAGCACATTTTAATCTCCGAAACTGGATACTTCTGTAAAACTTTGCCGAAGAACGGCATGTCCCCGAAGTGCGAACTAATAAAAAATCAAATTACCTCCATACCCATTACGTGTAGTAAAATATAATAAAATTATATCCCTAAAATTTTATTAGACCGGAGTATAGGTTATAAATTCCTTTTATAGCGTTTTATCCCTCTGGGCACTTACCACTAAAGGATATTTTTGGCCGAGTCCAAAATGGTCGTCATACTAAAGAAGATAGGAATGAATTCTAAAGATTTGAACATAATTATAAATTTTTAAAAAATAATAAATATTAAAAATAAAAAATATTGCGACGGGTACGAGATGTATTCTATCCCCTATCTTATTTAACGTGACAGTATTCAAGAAAGAAGAACCACAAATGGTGCTTAACTAAATAATATAAGGTACGCAGATGACAATATAATGTTTGCAGATAGTCTTCAAGGACGACAAAAACTAATGGATAGGGTGACTGAGGTTAGCTCACAGTACGGGTTGGAAATGAATATAAACAAAACCAAACTCATAATCATAATCTGCCCTTAAACATGAAACTCAGACTATTGCGTTGCTACGTCTTCTCAGTCCTTCTGTATTGCGTAGAAACTTGGACACTCGCTAAAGAAACCACCAAGAGACTGGAAGCATTCGAACCATGGCTGTACAGGAGGATATTGAAAATATCTTGGACACAAAAAATTACCGACATAGATGTATTGCGACGTATGAATAAAGAAACAGAACTGCTTAATACCGTAAAATGTCGGTCACACAATGAGGAACGCAGATAGATATGGATTATTACGACAAATCCTCCAAGGCAAAATTAACAGCAAGAGAGCACCGGGTCGAAGTAGAATATCTTGGTTAGCAAACCTTAGAACGTGAACGATATTCACTTGGAGAAGCAGATGACTGATGAAAATGTGGAACGCAAAATTGCATTGTGAAAATGTTACTCGAATTTAAAAAGTATTCTTAAAAAAGACGTGTATTTTTGAAAATCTTATTGAAGATATTATATGTGAAAAGCAACTTCAGAGTAACCTTATATTAGACTTGATACCGGAGAAAATAGTCCGAACAATCTCGATTTATTAGTATACTGTTTAAAAAGCATCTTCGACAGGGTGTCTTTGGTGGTATCTTTGTTCGGTGAATTTAATTAGTTGTTCGATGGATATGATGTTTTATATACAATTTTACATACAGAGTGTTCGGAACATAGCCGCAGTTAAACTAACCAAAACTAAAACATGATAATCCAGTTTTCAAGATACACATCTAAACAAATATTCATTCACTAGATTCTTTTGAAATTTTCCACCGTCCATTTCCGTTCACCTTTTCGCTCAAGGGATCATCGAGCTACTAGCCAATACTATGGGCGATTCTCAAATCGGCACTTCACTTGGAGTAAAAATAACCCATATTAGCACAAAGTTGTAACAGAAATAAATTTACCTAATCAATATATCCAGAGAAACGCAAACCAATAATTATAATGTTCTTGGATTTTAAATTGGATGTATCAAATACAAGATAGATAAAATACAAAAAATAGGAAAAATATCTGTAGCTAAAGGTACACCCTGTATATTGTTTATTCGGTTATAATTATTAGCATAATAATATTAAACTATTTTAACATATTCTAATTTTGATAATGGGTTGTGTTATATTTAAAGTTTTTCAACACAACCAAAATTTTGCATCTTTGTCTCATTATTTCTGATAGGTCTGAATTATTATCACTGGTGTCGACATTTTCACTAAAATCGATCAACTTTTAGCTGCACACTCGAAAACTTTTAAAATAAGACCATTTAGAATATGCAAGCTGTTATGTTCTGTTATGCTTGCTTGAATGTAATTGCTAAACCTACCCTCAGTAGTGGAAAAATCCAAATGTTGGTCTTATGATACGGAATTTTTGACAACAGTGCTGAACTTGTTCCATTCGCCGAATATGACATTGATAATCGGTATTCCATAGAGATGAAGCATATTCCAAGTGGGGTCGAACCAGAGCACAATATGACCTCATAATAAAGGCCAAAGGCCTTTAAAATTATGCTGTACATATGACTGTTATAGATAATATAGATAACATCCAAGTATATTCGTAAACTATATGCATTTTGAGAGATTGGGATCTATACCATTCAAGTGACACCATCGGGCCAACCGTTCTAAATCCTTCTATAAACGAACCTGATCTTCACGAGTTCTAAACAGGCAGCTAAATCATTGATAAAGATGAGAAAGAATAACGGCCCGAAGTGAGAGCCCTGAAGCACCCCGAAGTAACTGCAAGAGACTCTGTATACAGGAAAATGTATCGACGAAAATATTATTTTGGCGACGATTATTTTCCCTCGGGCTTTGGTGTGGGTGTTTAATGAGTTCAACTTCAAAAACGGAAAACATTTTACAAGCCCGACTGCGTATAGACGTATTTGCAAATGGAAGTCTATCGTTAATAATTATAAGCCGACCGGTAACAACGTGAAAAAGGCAATTTGAGGATTTAAACACTGTTATCAAAGTTCTTACGAAATGCGCAACATGTTCCCTTAAACATCGGTTGGAAATTGACAACTGTTAACAACTGCATTAACAAAATTAGATAGACATAAATATCACAATAGACGCTTGTAAAAAAAGTCGCGTACTTATACGACGAATAAATAATTTTTAACAATGCCGGTAGTAAGTGAGTCGCACAATGTTAATGTTAATCGAGGAAAAAAAATTATTTTGTGCGGGACGAAAGAGGTGCCACAATAATCAATATCGATTGTGAAGGGGGACGGATATACTTGGGGACCAAATGAAAGCGGCTAAATTGTCTACACCGAGATTGGTGATCAGTGGGAAATGGCTACTAGTTTAGTAAATTAGGATGGAGGGGCTTTCAAGATAATGAAGCAATTCTGTGTAAAAATGATGATTAAGTAGATAGTGAAGGTGAAATGACAAAAGTAAAGTAAACATCATAAGAAGCTCGCCAACGTTACAACATATATTTGATAGAAAGGAAAAAAATGTCACTTTGCTTTCGCAATCTCGTCGCTGCGCCAAATTTTTCACGAATTTTGATTTACTGTTCAAATTTTTTTTTTTTTGTCTATAATTGAAAAACCCTGTAGATAATCGAAAAAATGCCAGAAATAAAAGCTTTATTCCCAGATCTCCCTCGTTTTTCTATTCAAGAATTTTGCGAGTCGGGTTAATGGTTTTGGAAAAAATATTTTTTTTTGTGAAAGGCGAAATTTTTTTCAAAATTTTTTTAAATATACTTCGCGACGTTTGATGACGCGCAACTTCTGTACGTCCCTGCCAAATTTGAACGTCATAGCTGCAAATTTAACACACCTACTACATTTTACAATAGAGCACGAAATATCTCGAACACCCTGTACAATATGTACAACCGTTAAATAAAAAAAAAAATTGTAGCTGCCTAAACGAACTGTAGAAAGAAACTGTTCACTGATTAATGGTCTTCTAGTTATAAGAAATTTTCATTAAACAAATAACCCATTTTTTAGTTTTTTGACAACGTATCCTGTACATTTTCAAAAAATGTTATTCTTAATGATTTTTAGATCCGGATGTCGCGCGTCTTCTTTTTTTGAGAAAAAAAAATCCGCATGTGGTTTTCAAATTTTTAAAAACAGTTACCCCTCCCCCCAGGTTCAATAGCAAATTAAGGTCCATTATACGCTTGGCAAACTTGAAGCCGATAGATTTAAATTTCGAATACTTATCGTGTTTCATAGCGATGTACGAAAAGCAGAAGAAAATCGCGAAAAAGAAGATGAGCGCTGTCCGATCGGAGTCATTTCTTATAACATTATGTGTCCTGTTGGCTTTTTAAAAGGTGCCAAATTTCAATATCCTAGCTCAACCCACTCGTTAGGTATTCCTATTTTTATGGAGCGCCGACAGATAACAGAGAATGGACAGATATTGAAAGAACATTTTTTTTCAACACTGATTTCACACATTTCTGTACCAATGGGGATGTTGCCAAGCGCGTATATTTTCGAAAAATTCGATTTTATCGATTTTTGCGAAAGTAACTAGTCGACATTATCGTCAAGCTGCCGGATTTTGCTGTGTGGATATGGAAGGAAATTATACGCATTTTTATGGAGCGTCAACAGAGTACAGAGAACGGGCAGATATTGAAAGAAAATTTTTTTCAGCATTGATCATTTCTAGGGTCCCCTAGGACGTTGTCAAGGGCGTATACTTTCGAAAAATTCGATTTAATCGATTTTCGCGAAAGTAACTAGTCGACATTATTGTCAAGCTGATGGATTTTGCTGCGTGGATATACAAGGAAGTTATACGCATTTTTATGGAGCGTCGACAGAGTACAGAGAACGGACAGATATTGAAAGAAAATTTTTTTCAACACTGATCATTTCTAGGGTCTCCTAGGACGTTGTCAAGCGCATATACTTTCGAAAAATTCGATTTAATCGATTTTTGCGAAAGTAACTAGTCGACATTATTGTCAAGCTGATGGATTTTGCTGCGTGGATATTCAATGAAGTTATACGTATTTTTATGGAGC